GACCACCGCAGTCAGCTTTTCTGGACATCATGGACAATCTGCGTCCTCATCCTCCTCCGCTGTTCTCCTAATCTATCTGTGTTTTTCATGACTTACATTTCTATTTCACCACACTGTTTCTTATCAATTGTCCCAAAGCCTTGGCCAGAGTCACAGAGTATATAAACATCAGAGAGTAGCAGAAAATGAACTGAGAACACGGGATCTGTTACCAGGAGCCCCAGAGTAGAAACCATGTTCCACCACTCATCAGCTTTGCAAAATTCTGTGGCCCTGAAAAATGGGAGCAGCAGCCAGGCCCAGAGGCGTGTGCCTATAGTTCAGTGTGCCGGGGGTTAGCAGCTTTGCCAGACTCTGACTCCAACGTTTAAAAATTTTTAAAAGGTAAGTAATTTAGAATAAATAAAAACAAGTATGTGGGCTGGGGAAATAGCTTGGTGGTCTAAGCACCCACCTGGCAAGCACAAGGTCCCAAGTTCGATGCCCGGTACCAGGTCTGCCATGCCAGCCCTGAAACCAGGTGTGGTGGCGAGCGCCTGTAATCCCAGCACTAGAGAGGCTGAGGGAGGAGGATCACTATGAGTCCGAACTGTGTATCCAGATGCTATATAAAAACCAAACAACCAAAAAATGCAGGTATGTACGGCTCCAAGCCGTGCCAGTGATGTAGCAAGTACTTAGTAAGTAGTAGAGGCAATCATAGTAACAGTAGTAGGGAAACAAGACAAATGAATGGAGAGAAGGTAAATGACAACTGGCACCCAAAATAAACTGAATAAGTCAGTAGTGAAAGGTCAAACCCAAGAGAAAGAAGTGGGGCATGAAGGTCTCTCCTGCTAGAAGCGGATCGTGTCCTCACGCTCTGTGTTTATACTTTTCACCAAGTCTGCCTTCCTTGATACAGATCTCCCAAAAGGCGGGGTATCCTGGAGAACGTACGTCACAAGGCAATTCGTATTTAAATACGGCACTCAGCTTCAGCCCAATTGATACTACTGTGTAAACCAAGATGTAGGATATTTTTAGATAAACACACAGTAAAACCCCGGACTACACTTTGCTCTGCGGTTGATCCACAAGTCAAGCGAACATTCCCCGGACACTTGGACACACAGGCCGTGTCCTGATGCACGACGTCCGGTGTCACGTCGTCGCAGCTCAGCCACGGCTCTCCCGCGCTTGCGCACTGTGGTGTTGTGTGTGATGTCTCCCAACGGCAAGAGCCTACAGAGGACATCTGCAGAGCAGGAGGCGAAAAGGGCGGAGGGAGCTCTCACTGCAAATGAGGTTAGGGAGATGTGTACGATACAAGAAACCGCAACATTCTGCGGAAAAGCGCCCCCACTTAAGGCTGCATCACTGCGTGCAATGAGTAATGACAACGCAGTGTGACATTTCTAAGAAATCTTCAAAAGCGAGTGTCACTGGATAGGGTTCTTGTTACAACTACATGAAAAGGGAAAGACTCCACTGAGCCAGTACAAAGCACAGTGCGGCGACGCTGCCGGTGACAGTGAAAGCCGTCCTGCACGGCAACCCTCCCCTCTTATCTCCCTCACATGAGCGGAGAAGATTTTCAAAGATAAATACAGATTGATTTGTTTATTTTTCTTTATGTTTTGTATGTTATTATTTTGTATTATATTATAGCACTGTCATCATTTTGTGTGTATGTGTGTATTTTTGAGACAGGGTCTCCCTAGGCAGCTCAGGCTGGCCTTGAGCTCACTTTGTAGTCCAGGCTGGTCTCAAACTCTCACCGATCCTCCTGCCTCAGTCTCCCAATTACAGGAGTGCACCACCACACCCAGCAGCAGCATTGTAATCATTTTTATATGAATATTTTTGTATTGTAGAACGAATCATCTGAGTTTCCATTATTTCTTAGGGAAACTTCACTTTCTGGACAGAAGTATGCTTGCAAATCAAGGCTTTACTCTACTTTCACCGTGGCTTTACAAGAAAAAAAGGGGTGGTTGGTTTCTTTTGTTAGTTTCTCATTGGCATTAAGCAGCTTATTTTTTAATCCTGGCCAAGAAAGGAGCTATCCAGGAAACCTTATCTGTGATTCTCAGCATCTACTATTTATTTATTTATGCATACATGCATGCGTTACCAGGGTTCAAACGCGGGCCCCTGCACTTGCCAGGCGGGCCCCTGCGCCGCTGAGCTGTACCCCCGCCTGTACTACCTTTCAACGGCCACCCTCGATACACACCTGTGAAGAAGCTCCACTAAAGCGACTGCTTTATTAACATCAGGGCCCCGCACTGGGCAGGCATCGGGCTGCCGGCCATCTTCGCAGAGCTGGTTCTGCCAGCCGAGGCTGCTCAGCTGTGGGAATCCCAGGCTGGGCGCTGCCTCCGAGACCTCGGTGCGTAAGGAAGAAGCGGGTGGCTAGAAGGAGTCAGGAAAAAGCAGAGAAGATTGGGGATCAAAATACAAAGTCATGGGTAAGCAATTTTTTTGTGGGGGGGTAGTACCCGGAATGAAACCCAGGACCTTGTACTTGCCATAAGAGTAAAAATTTCTTGACAAATATGTACAAGCTGGGCAGGTGAGATGGCTCAGTGGTCTAAAGCACTTACTTAGAACAAGCTAAGCAAAGCACAGGGACCGCGGTTCAATCTCCCAGCACCACATGCCAGCCAGCCCCGCCCCCTGGTGGGCTGAGCTGGCCACACACACACACACACACACATAAATAAATAAAATTTAAAAAAAAATATGTACAAGCGTAGGAATGAACATAAACGGAAAAGGGAAGCACAGGTAACTAAAGTAGAACATTGTCCTCAAAGAAGCTTCGGGAAGGTTGGGTGGAAGGCAAGCACATTCAGAGATAATCCCAGCCACACCTGACCCACTTTCAAATCCCCAGAATGTATCTAAAGAAATGTTTGCAAAATTGAAAATAGTACATACAAGAAAAAGATGAAGGGATTGCAATGTGTAAACGTAGAACTTATTTACAGCATTTCTATAAGTCCACCCCTTAAGGGGAACGTATACAATTTAAAAAACACTAGTATTACTCTTCCAGAAGAGACACTGGAAGGCAAAATTTTTTCAGCAAACAGGAAAAAACAGTGGAGGGTTGTTTTGGACAACTTAAGACTGAAAACCCAGAGCAGGTCTTAAGGTGCTTGCTTTCTGGGAGAGACAAGGATGACCGTGTAGTACCAGGGATCGTAGTGTGAAAGAGCAGGGACTTTTCTATGAGAAAAGTGGGGTTAATGATACTCAAGAGACTGCTGTGGGACACGGGCAAGTACGGGGCACGAAGCATTTTGTAAACCGTGCAGAGAGTTCACAGCACACATGTCCCATCTGCTCATCTGGGAGGAAGAAAATGAACCGGGGATTGAACTCAGACCCTTGAGCTTGCCAGGGAAATGCTTATTCTACTGAGCCATCACCCTGGCCCGACGCCATCATTTTCGATATTGTTTATATTGTTGCTTTCCCAAGTACTACGAGCTCCACAGGAACGAGGAAGGCACTAGATACAGCCGCCCCCGAGCCCAATGTGCCTATGCTCCAGAACTGTGCTCGGTGAGCGGATCCCCACCCCTGAGACCGTGGTGGGCTGCAACGCTGGGCGGCCTTGAGGCTCTAGGACCCTCCCAGCAGCCTGGCCGGGTCCTCCTTGGCCCCTGGGCTCGCGCGCCGCCGCCCCGAACGCGCGCGGCGGCCGTGCGCCGAGGCCATTGTCGCCTTACCCGGGCCCCGGCTCAGAGCTTCAGCCTCGCTCTGCCCACACCAGCGCGCGGACCCCTAGCCTCTGGGCCTCAGAGGCCCAGCCCATTTTCATCTCCAGGACGCTGTTGCCCAAGCAACGAGCTCACCCGTCGATTGGACAAACAGGTCTCCGCCCCTGACAATAAACTGGGCTACTATTGGCCAAATCTAAAGAGTCGGTCGGTAAGAGGCGGGGCCAGAACTGCAGTTCCGCCCCTGGAGGAGCTTCCGCCGGAAATCCTTCCAATGGGGAGCGGGAGCCGAGCGTCTAACGTCACGGCAGCGGGTTTCTGTTACGTGGGCTTTCTTGCGAGCTGAGTTCCGGTTCCAACAAACTGCGTAAGGCTACGTGTCCTGGGCAGAGCCCTTCTGTGCAGAAAGCTAAGCTAGCCAGCGCGATGGCTCACGTCAGCACTCTGGGTGTCTGAGGCAAGAGGATCGCAAGTTCAGGGTTTGCAAGTTAGCAAGCCCCTGCCTATGTCAAAATGAAAAAGGGCCAGGGATGTAGCTCAGTGCAGAGGTTCTGGATTCAGACTCAAGTGCCACGAGGAGAAGCCAGAAAACGAAACGTGTCCGCTGGGTGGTTAAGAATGGAGTAATGTAAAGCCCCGACCACGTGCTGGGCCTTCCGCGAGTTCTGCAGCTGCAGCCGATGGCGGTTTCCGCCTGTTTCCCACGCTGGCGTCTGTGTGTGCTGGAGAAGACGATCCCATGAAGACCAGAACTGTGCGCTCAGCCTGGCACGGTCCTCAGCTCCACCCGGTGCCGTTGTTGGCCAAGTGAATGGAACATCGCGAGGCACGGGGTCCCGTGGGAGCCCAGCGAGCCATGTCGGGGGTCATAATAGCATCCTTGGCGCTGCCCCGAGCAAGTGCCCCTACCAGCCTCCGTAGCTGCGTGTCAGCTTCAGGCGGCCTTCTCTTGAGACTTTGGCTTATGCGCATAGCAGTTCGCTGGGTGCTCAGGGGACCTCGGGGTCCTCGGCTCCTTTCCATGCAGGGCTTCCATGCAGTCAAAAGTCATTTCATAATAACGCTAAAACAGTACTCGCCTTTCCACTCTTAACCTCCCAGGAGTGCGGGTTGGTTCTGCAGAAGCCCAGCGTGGTGCTGCCGCGGACTCAATGCAAAACGCGAAAAGCCAGCACTCTCCTACCAAGGCAGATGGTGAAGAAAGTTGCAAAATCTTTTCCATCAGTTTTGTTTTGCGAAGTGTAACTTTTCATTAAAATTGTATTAGCTTTACGTAATCATTTCGTTGATTTTTGAATATGGTAAATACTGACAGGTATAACATAAGCAGATAGTCTGTGGCATCCTCAGTACTTTTTAAGGAAATAAAAAGAACTCCAAGGGCAGAAAGTTTGAGATCAAAGAGCTTAGGTTATTCGCTCTGTCATAGCCAGCAATCTCATTTCTTGCCTTGTCTCTTAAAACATGCTCTAGTATCTCGCATCTTCCCCCACCCCCCGTACCGGGTATTGAACTCCCGAACCTGCGCTTGTCAGGCAAGTGCTTATTCTACTGAGCTATCTCCCCAGCCCAATAGCATTTTTTTTTTTTTTTTTTTTTTTTTTGCGGAACAGGGGGTTGAACTCAGGCCCTTGCGCTTGCCAAGGAAGCACTTATTCCACTAAGCCATCTCCCGGCATCTTGCATCTTTTTTAAAGTTTCATTTCCAGACCATATCTGGGCCCTGTTTCCCCACTATGTGGTAGAACTATCTATTCTTTGGTTTAGTTTGGTTTGGATACCAGGAATTGAACTCACGACCTTGCACTTGCAAGGCAGGCGCTGTGCCGCTGAGCCATATCCCCGGCCCGAGCTATCCATCCATTCTTGCTCCCTCTCAGTTCCCATTCACTTGATCAGCATGCAGGCGACACAGCGCCATCGCTGCCCCGTACCTGGGCCTCTCCGTTGCCTTCCGGCTCTGCAGTGTCCAACCCAGTTAACTGCTCCTTCCCATCTAGAACACACTCTCCTTGGCTTCTCTGACAGCATGCCGGCTACCTGGGCTCAAGGCCCACTGCGCTTCCTTCTTTATGACCCTGGGTGATAAGGTCGCTCTGCCCCTGTCTGGGTAATTCTCTTGCCTTTATTGCCTGTCTTGACTCCTCCACATGGATGGATCAGAGACCGTGAAGACACACAGCTCGGTCCACCTACATCCCTCAGTCTGTACCATTTCAGCGTCATTCAAATTAGGGGCCGTGCCGTTGTCCTGTAATGGTCATTGCTGCACCCTCCACGTGAGATGCTGGTTCTAACATCACGATACATAAGCCACTAGTAATGGCTCGTCCATTGGACCAGCTGCACCAGCGCGGCCCTGCAGGGAAATCTTTTTTCTCACGATTGAACTTTCACATTGAGCTACGTCTCCACCCCTTTCTTATTTTTTATTTTGTGACAGGGTTGTTAAGTCACAGAGTTTCTTGGGCTGAGTTTAAATGCATGATCCTCCTGCCTCAGCCTCCCAGCACGCTGGGATTATAAGGGTGGACCACCTCACCCTGCTGGGACCACTCGGTATCTCACCCTCCTCTCAGGACCACGAGGGTCGCAGGGCACAGGAGCCAGCTTGCAGGCGCTCCTGCTGGTCAGTCTAGTGGGTTTCTGCCAAAGCCTCTCTCCTGGATTGTCCAGGGCCGGCACCTCTGTCTTCAGCAGTCTTGTGTGTCCTGACCTACCCTTTTCATGACACCAGTAAGATGGGAGCAGGGTTCCACCCTGTGGCCTCTTTTTAATTGAATTGCCTCCTTCATGGCCTCTCTCCAAGACTGGTCACATTCTGAGGGGAGACACTTGGGGTTAGGTGAGGGGTGCGGTTCAGCCCATGACATGCACACAGTGTTCTTTATGTTATTCTTGAAACTCTTTTTTGAAACTCTAAATCCTGTGGATCTCTTTACAGCACTTACATGCAATTACTTGTTTACAAATTCTCTACCCCTGTGTCAGGACCACACTGCCTTCATTCCCATCACCTGAGAGGACGCCTGTCTCTAAGGTCTTCAGCTCCCATGTTGCCTTGTGTGTCGTTCTCTCATGTTGCTTTGCATGCTCTTCACCCTTTACTTTTTGGGGGGGGGTACTGCGGGTTGAACTCAGGACCCTGCGCTTGTCAGGCAGGTGCTTATTCTACTGAGCTATCTCCCTGGCCCACCCTTTGCATTTTTCTACATAGTTGAAAAATCAGTGTGTCAAGCTTAACATCAAAGCCTTACGTCAAAGCCTTCCAGAGGGGCCGGGGAGATGGCTGGGTAGAATAAGCGCTTGCTGGACAAATGCAAGGGCCTGAGTTCAATCCCTGGTTCCGGAAAAGGAAAAAAAAAGCCTTCCAGGGCTCCGTACTGAGTTTGCACTGAATTTACAAGACAGCTGACATCCTTACAATGTTGATGTTATAGTCCACAAATGTCATGCATCTATCCATTTAGGTAGGTCCATTTTTCTTAATTATATTTAGTTTAGGGCTTTGTTAAACCTGTGTCTTAGGTTGTTTATATCTGTTGTAAATTGTGCCTTTAATAACAAATAATTTGGGGCTGGGGAGATGGCTCAGTGGAATAAGCGCTTCCGTGGCAAATGCAAGGGCCTGAGTTCAATCCCTGGTTCTGCCAAAAAAAAAAAAAAAAAAAATTAAATCCTGAATAACAAATAATTTACCTATTTTTATTGTGATAAAAATAAAGTGTGCCAATGAAACCCCTTTAAGTATACAGATCAGTGGCATGAATTACATTTACAGTTACCATCACTACTTTCTAGCTCCAAGATTTTTCAGTACAATGAACTGAAACTCTCTACCCATGAAACAACAACTCCCTAAGGACTGGGAATATAGCTCAGCGGCACAAGTGCCTGCCTGGCAAGTGCAAGGTGCTGAGTTCAATTCCCAGGACCAAAAAACAAAAGTAACTAACAGTAACTCCCATTTCTCTTCCCTAACCCCAAGTCCTGGTAACCTCTAATCTACTTTCTTTCCCTATAAATTCACTGATTGTAGATATTCCATATAAGTGGAACCAAACTATTTTTCATTACAATGAACTGAAACACTAGGCATACTGTTGTTTAAGTTCATCCATGTTACAGTACGTTTCAATCTGTCACTCAGAATGGCTGCACAGTACTCCACTGGGAGTATGTGGCTGATTCTAGGATATACTGGGATTTGTTTAAGTGGGCCTGGTAGATGCCAACACAGAAATAACTCATAGAGGAAGAGGTCCTAGGAACAGGAGGCCTGGCCTGTCACCAGGGCCATCCCAGGAAGCTGCACGGTTGATCATGAAATGGAGTGAAGAGAGTATGGGGGCCTGAGCAGTTACCGGGGCTTCAGCCAGAAGGGAAAGCTGACAGCCTCAGCTGTGGCCAGCCTGACGTGTTAACGAGGACGGTGGAGCTCGGGGCTGCCTCCAGTGGCCTGGTACTGGCCCTGGGCTGGTGGGCAGAGAGCTCAATAAGGATGTGGCACCCCTAATGGGCTTTGAGTTGGATGGTTTTCATCTGAAAACTGGACTTGAAAGATGGGCAGTTTCACTGTGTTAGAAGGCCCCAGGATGTCAGAGTGCCAAGAAATACAGAAAATAAAAAATATGCATGTGCCGTCAACCACTCAGCTGTTGACAGATACTTGGGCTGTTTCATCCTTGAGCTACACTCAATATCGCTTCCACAAACACTGGCATATCTGTGTCTGAGACCCAGTGTTATTTCATAATTCCAATTATTTTTATTTTAGTTTTCTGTCAAGGTATCAGTTATGTGGGCCAGGCCGGTCATGAACCAGAAATCCTCCTGCTTCAGCCTCTGAAACACTAGGCTTCCAGGTATGCACCACCGCACCCAGCGTGAGCCCTGCTGTCAGGGTCTTTCGGGCCTAGAACCAGGAGCAGACTTGCTGGCTGATACACTGCGGCCCCAATGGCTGCCTGTGTCCACACCCGCGCTATACGCGGCTGGCAATGTCTGCACATCCTCCCAGCACTTGTTTCATAGGGTTTGGGCTTTGAGTTTTTTTTCAGTATGAAGTGGTTCCTAGCTGTGGTTTGGGT